ATAGGTGTCCATTTTAAACATGTGTCCCTTGTACAGAGGTATCAGCTAACAGTTTTGAATGTACATATAGAGGATATATATGTTTACTATTCTGGTACTACTTTTACCGATGATACCACTTTATATATAACGCATCACCACAGAAACCCCATCAGGACAATAAATAGTGAGAAGGTCTAGCCTCTTTAGTGAGCGTTCTATTTTGCAATTTAGAAATTTTTAAAAACCCATGGCGATAGACAGAAAACCTGGCAGAATTAATTCTGCTGTGAACGAATTATTCAAATAATTGTCCGTGGATTTGAATAGTTTGGTTCAAAGCTCGGTTGCTGCCTTAGGCACCACAATGGCATAGCATAGGGGTTCTTAACCATGGACCCCTTTGAGGTCCGTGGATGGGTTTCATGGGGGTCCGTGAACCACTTTGTATGCAAATTTTGGGTTTACGTGGCGCTTATGTGCATTTTTCTGGGGCGGGGTCCGTAGCTTTCACCAGATTCTCAAAGGCGTTCCTGATTCAAAAAAAGGTTAAGAACCACTGGCATAGAAGAAAGACAGATGGGCAAATTCAAAAACTCGGCACTTATGCACTTTGGGTCCATTATTTAGAATGAACGATTCAGTAATTCAGTAGGGCAATAAAATTACTAAAGTGGAGCAACATAAATACAATATGGTCTTCAAGTGACACAGACACAGGCACACACGAATACGTACACACAGTCACATAAACGCACGCGCACGCACGCACGCACGCACGCACGCACGCGCACACGCACACACACACACACACATGTATACACACACACACACACACGCACGCACGCGCGCACGCACACACGTGACGCCAGCCTATCCAAGACGGAGACCAACACACGACTAGCACGTGTACGCTGTAACAGGAAATCTCTGACCAGCCAGAAAAAAAACCAACAGCTGCTTACAAAGCCTCTGTTTAGTTTTCGAGTTTAGAGATGATCTGCTATTCGACGAGGTCAGAAGCTCACTCAGCACCAGCCCAGCGTGTGCACCCCTCCCCCTCCCGCCAACGCTCTCAGCACTGCAAACCTACCCGAGGCATCGGGTATGTGTCTCTCCGGATACAAGTCCGTCAGGAATAGACTGTTGATAAGGGTAGACTTTCCCAAGCCCGACTCGCCTGTAAAGAAGAGACCAGTGCAGGTTTTATACACAAATTAAACAGTGCACACACTAATTATCTTGCAAGCTCATTAAAATAGAAGCCACGCAGTGCAGATAATTACAAGCAAACTGGCCCAGTGTAAGAGGAGGCTTAGGAAATAAGTGGTCAAGAAAGAATCATGGAGTATACATGACGCATAATTTTGTCGCGCTGCAAGTGAAGTCGTACCCTAAATAGCTATAATAACTGTGCATATGCCAGAAGGAAATTCCCCTCTTATAATAACCTCAGCGCTGAACCAAATGTTTAGTGACTGTGTGAGGTATATAATATATACGTGGAATCAATATTATCCTTAGAAAAAAACGAAACCCACCCCCTATTGCGGATATAAACGCGTGCAATGCGATGATTCAATGAATCAGCGCCTTCGTCTGGCATGCCCCATCTGGGCCGTCTCACACCGCACCGCACGCTTAGTCTGCCCCTCCCCGTCCCCCTTCTCGCACCCATCGGTGGAACCGCGCACTGCGAGGGACCGTCTAGGGGGGCGGGTTGACAGGCCTGATTATGAACAGGGCAGGGTGGGGCGATCGTGTTACTCGGCGACGTCATCACACAGCGAAGATTCGACCGTGGAGGAAGCAGCAGGGAGCGACGGCAACACGCTGTACTGGCAGTACTGTCATGCATGTCACACACGCGCACGCACGCACGCACGCACGCACGCACACGCGCGCATAGGCAGACATTGATTTTGACCGGACAGGCGGCGCGTAGAATGTAGCAGATTCTCCATCGCTCCCTCGCTCCCACGCACGCAGAGACAGTATAACGAGCTGCGTGACTGTACCAGCAAGATGGATCATCCGGGATACACAGTAGGGGACATCCCCCGGGGACGTGTCTCTGTCAGTGGTTAGTCATGCCACACAATGCCCAATACCTTCGTCACTCTATATGTGTGTCTACAGCTCGGCGAGGGAGGCCGTGTTCAGAAACGGCGGGGGCGGCCGAGGAGGGGCGCATCAACCGATGAGTCACGATGCGCGGGGGATGTTAACTTGGCAGTGTGGTGTCGAACTGCTCTTGGAAGTCACCGCTGCCTCATTATAATGGATGAAGTTACTACAAACAACTCACGCGTTCGCACATATTACTAAATTCCTCCTAAAACCCTATTCAAAACCTCCATTACTAAAACCTCCCATAGGCGAAGTTGCTACAGACCACCCAACCGTTCCCACATACAACTGCAACCTGCCCTAATGTAACCCATCCCCTTTACCTAGACTAGTAGTTACCTCATCATTGACTCATACCCACATAC